TGAATGCTTTCCTTGTCCTCCAATATGTCTCGCAGGTCTGGTGTATCTCCCCATGCCTTTTTATTTGAATGGCGTTGGGGTGGAGGCTGAGCTTTTGGATGGAATGCCTCTCTATCGCAGCCACGAGGTGGCCGATCAGCCGTATCATACGCTTCTTCCTCCAGTCGGGGTAGTAACCTGCGCCTTGGGTAACTCTTGGAGGGGCGCTCGAGTTTATATTCCTCGGTCGCGAGCACTTCGGTCCATTTGTCAGCTAGCAGATCTTGATCAGCTTGAAGCTGCTGCTGCTTTTTCTTCAGGCTATTTGCCGTGGCCATAAGCCGACGCTTGAAGCACTCTTGTTCGATGGGATCCTCTGGGACGGCGAATTCATCGTCGCCGAGGCTTGCCTCGTCGGAGGGGGGATGTAATTGTCATCCTCCTCCTCTCCATCTGCCGCTCTCTCAGGAGAGCTGGCTCCTTCACCCTCCTGCTCTAAATCTTGCTGGAGGGGATTGTTGTTGTCTTCGGCACTATCCGGAGTATTATCTCCTGTGCCGGTATCACCACTTTTGCTTTGGCGGGACTTAGAGCAGCGCCGCTGACGTCGGCGCTTGGGTTGCTTCTTGGAGGGGTCATCCTCCGCTATCTCGTCGCCATTGCCTTCATTGGGTGTATCCACCATGTATATGTCATATGACGAGGTGGCTTTCCAGTGCCCTATAGGTGCTGGTTCATGTTCGTCTCCTACATCGTCATCCATACCGTCGATGTCTTCGGAGTCGAAGTCGAGCATGTCGGTTAAATCATCGACAGTGGCTACGAAGTGGGTGTTGGGTGGGCGTCGAATTTCTTTGTCGTCCGCATCCCAATCCTGTTGGCCATGATCCGGCCAGGGCTCTCCTGATAAAGAGAGAGACTTTAGTGAATTCAGAATGTCGCCGAAGGATGAGTGCTGAAAGATATCCGCGGCGGTGAATTCCATGATCGGCGCCCAATCGGATTCGATTGGCAGGGGCGCGGATGGTTCGGGGTCCGGAAAAGAGTCCGGCACCTTGGAGTCGCGGGCTGCGCAGAGGATTATGCTGGTGTTTGGCTCGATCGCCATTGAGACTGCAGCCCCTGAGGCGGTGTCTAACCACTCGTCCTCGATTGGCGCAGTTGGCTCCGAGCTAAGGGTCGGAGCTGATGCGGGCGCGGCCTCTGGGGTACTGTTCGGCGGCAGAGCTAGGTCATACCCATCGCAATAGTGCGGCGCGCCGGGCTGTGGCTTGAATCCGTCGAAGATCAAGTCTCCGCGGATGTCGGCCGTATAGTTCAAACTTCCAAATCTGACCTGATGGCCAGGGGCGTAGCTTTCAATCTGCTCCAGATGGCCAAGCAAGTTAGCCCGCAGTGCAAAGCCGCCGAATACGAAGATCTGTCCGGGGAGAAAAGTCTCACCCTGGACTGCATCGCTATTGATGATAGTAGGAGCCATCAAGCCTAACGGCGACGACACAGAGGAACTCTCAATGAAAGCACCAATGTCGGTGTCAAAACCGGCGGATCTCGGGTAGGGGGCCCCAAACTGTGCGTCTAGGCCGGATGGTAACAGGAGGCAGGGGACACAATGTTTTACCCAGGTTCGGGCCCTCTTGATGGAGGTAAAACCCTACATCCTGCTTGATTAATATTGATGATATGGGTAGTACAAGAGTAGATCTACCACGAGATCAGAGAGGCTAAACCCTAGAAGCTAGCCTATGGTATGATTGTATGTTACGATTGTTGTCCTACGGACTAAAACCCCCCAGTTTATATAGACACCGGAGAGGGTTAGGGTTACACAAGGTCGGTTATAAATGAGGAGATATCCATATCCGTACTGCCTAGCTAGCTTGCCTTCCACGCCAAGTAGAGTCCCATCCGGACACGAGACGAAGTCTTCAATCTTGTATCTTCATAGTCTAACAGTCCGGCCAACGGAGATAGTCCGGCTATCCGGAGACCCCCTAATCCAGGACTCCCTCGGCCGTCCTTTTTCTTGACCAAGATAATAGGAGAAGCGAAAGGGCTTGAGCTTTTTTGAATGATACCGGCACGGAGCAGTTCTGCCACTTGTTTCTCTATTTCAGTCTTGTGTTCTAGCTTATGTCTGTACGGACGAATGTTCACCGGCTGTGCTCCTAGGATGAGGGGTATCCGATGATCACAGGAATGTCGCGGTGGTAATTCAGTTGGTTCCCCAAACACATCCTCAAATTGGAGTAATACGTGTCGGATACAGTCAGGAATGGCTTGCAGGAGTTCTTCTTCAGAAGTGACCGAGTGTAAGAAAATGACATGTGTGACTGCTTCATTGTTGATCAGACTCTGAAGGTGCAGGCTGTTGATCGTGTGACAAACTGTGGACTGGGCGTGGTGCCCTTGCAGACAAATTGTTGCATTGGCAGCATGGATTTCAATGCGCTTCGCTCGCCAATCCACAAACATGGGGCTGCTTTCCTCTAACCAATCCAAGCCCAAAATGGCATCATAAGTACCCAATGGTAGAACTTTCATGTTGGTGATGAATTCATGGTCTTGAGAGTACCAGGTGCACTGGGGAACTGCAGAAGAACAGATGAGTTCTCCGCCGTCGGCGACGCGCACCGTGCATGCGCGTGCCAGAGATGTCACTCCCTCCAACGACTTGGCTAGCTTCTGATCCACAAAAGATGTGGTACTGCCTGAATCAACCAGTACCAATACCTCATGCCCTTGTATCCAAGCTCGGAGTTGGAAAGCTTTAGCTAAAACCCCGCCCGACAGTGTTGTTCGTGAGATAGCCATGACAGTTTCAGATGCCCCTGGTTCAGGTGTCGTTGAAGCGTCGATGCCTGCGTCGATAGCGAAGAGCTCGAGCAGTTCTTCAACAATATGCAGCTGCACTGACGTGGGGCACACATGATCGTGGCCCCAATGTTCCCCGCACTTGAAATAGAGCCCGCGTGCTCGGCGGTAGTCGCGGAGCGCCTTGAGTTTGTTGCTATCAGCCCGTGCACCTTCGACGCCGCGATGATCATTAGCTGTCGTCGACGCGTTTGCTGAAGTTGGTCTTGGAGTAGGTGGAGGCGGCAAGGGTAGTGGAACATTTGGGCGCAGAACGGCATCAGGCACCCGTGCAACAGGAGTTGGTGGATGAACACGGTGCACTGGCTCCATCACCTCCTCCTGAAGTAATGCTAGGGAACACGCCGTGTCCAAATCGGGTGGTCGCTGCACCAGCACCACGGCGCGGATGTCGTTCCGGAGTCCCTCGACAAAACGAGTCAGATAGAAGTAAGGATGCAATGATTCAGAATAGGAAGTTAAATGATTGACCAAAACTTCAAAATGTTCAATGTAATCAGCAACTGTGGTCGTCTGATGGATGGTATAGAACTGTCTAATGAGCACTTGGTGGCGATCACGCCCAATCAAAGGTAGATAACTTGGAGTGTATGGACTGTAACCACACCGCCGCTGAGCTGGGAAATTCAGGGCGGCCATAGGAACCTAGAAGGAGTTGTGGATCCCAAACATTGCAAAATATTGCTCACACATGGTTTTCCAGATACAAGGATTTTCGCTCGAGAACGACGGAAATGAAATGGATGGGTGGGCTTGCCCCAGACCCACGAGCATCTGACTCGCGTGTGCAAAAGGTGAGAGAGGTGGAACTGGGGATTGGGGCAGGAACTGACCGGTGCCTGGGAGAGACACCGACGGGGTCACCGGTGCCTCCCGGTGAAGAAAAACGTCGCCGTGGTCCGTAGACCCGTGGGGTAGCGTCGCCGCGCGATCCATAACCGCAGGGAGGCCGCTGTCCGCTGCAACGGGCGGCTCGCGCGTCGAGGGCCCCAACGCTGCCGCACCAGACGCCCCTGGCGCTGGCGCGCGCCCTTGACGGAGATCCATCACCGCGTCGCTGAGCTCGGAGACGCGGCGCTCGAGGTCCGGACGCCAGGTGATCAGGTCGTCAAGCTTGGTCGTGTTCGCGTGCACCGCCGCGGTGTTGTTGCGGAGGTCGACCCGAATCTCGTCCATGGACTTGGTGAGTCGGTCCATGTACTCCTTCATCGACGGATCCATCTCCTCGATCTGCGATCTAGCTTGTCGAAGGCGTCGGGTTTCCACGAAATTGGCCAGATCGGAAGTGATGGAAGGGAGGTGGTTGGGCTCTGATACCAGATGTTATGATTACACTGACCCTCTCTTGGTTTAGCTCTCTGAAGTAGTAGCTTAGGTACAGGAGATTACAAGAATTGGTAGGAGTTCTTCGATGCAAGATGAACACAAGAACAAGTGGAAGGGAAAGTAGGTAGCTGCCAGTGTCGTGATCCTCTGGATGACTCGCCTTGCTTAAGTAGCGTGGCCCTTCGAGTATAGCTGGTTGGCCCAGTCCGGCCCAGTGAAGCGGGGGTTGGTCCGTGGTACACGCTTGGCCCGTGTACCGCGCATGTCGTTGGCGCTGTGGTGGGTGCCTTTCCTGGCAGGGGCGCTAACAATTCAGATGCCAAGAAGTCATTAGGTGTATACCAATCAAACATATCACCAGCTCTTGTGCGGTTACAAGGAAAACAAAATCCCAGCTATTTCACAGCAACCATCTGAAATTCAAGAATTGCCCTGGATCAGAGTTCAGGACTTAGGGTATATTTTAGACTGAAGAATGCGCCTATCCGAGCATGCATCATAAGTTGCAGTGCAGTACATACATATCCGAGCATGTCATAGTTTGCAACGAATTCCAGCCCGCAAGCTACTCTAGCTGATGCATCTAACGTCGATTTACAACGATGGCGAACAATCATGACCACTTGCACGGTGCACGGCCACTGGACACAAGCAAAACCAGTGGTGAATCATCGGTAGCCCATGCCATTACTGCACACAGGGAAGACGCAACGATGCGTCGTCAGGAGTAACATCGTCCAGCCGAAAATACTGCCTCGACTCTGGCCAGGAACCCATGCCTCGCCTTGGCAACACACGGTTAGTTAGCCCGCTTGAATGAATCATTGCTGGTTTTGCTGCCTCTGCTGGGGGAAGTTCGGGTTCGGCATCTGATTCTGCAGCTGGTTTTGCATCTGATTTTGCATCTGGTTCTGCATTTGGTTCTGCTGCTGGTTCTGAAGGCCCACCATGCCCTGCTGCTGCAAGCTCTGACCGCCTCCTTGCATGTTCCCGTATAGCCCTTGCTGCTGCTGCTGCTGCTGTTGCTGCTGCTGCTGCTGCTGCTGCTGCTGCTGCATTTGCATTCCCATCATGCTCGTGGTATTTGCGCCTCCCATGCCGTACACTGCAGTAAGCGATAAAGGAGAATTACTTGCTCAGAAAGTATATTTAAAATTAAACTGCGCTAGGGAGGGTCAAGGAGGATTTCATCGAAACTAAAATGACACAGAAACGATACAGAGTGCACAGTTATGAATCATACGTGACTAGAAGCTTTTCGCCTGCACCACTATCTAAAACAACTACAGAGCTAGATACCTGCACAGAAGAAACCCAAATATATCTGCAATAGCAGTGCATCAAAAACCAGCGCATCTAACTTTTCCTCGGGACAACCATTTTTGTAAATACATGCTGAATTATGCTCCAAATTTAACTGAAGAATAGTTAATTAATGTATGTTTTCTTCTGAACTGTGACTATATCACACCAGCTAAGTAGTCCAAGCAGGATGACACAAGTACACTATATAGCTGTACAGAAAATTACGCATTTCCTTAATTTATTAATAATGACGAAAGCCTAAAAGAGGATGAACGGTACATACTTTGGTCGGTCATCATTTGATGACTCCTCTGAGGATGCCCACCAGTCAAACCAAACTGCTGAACAATCATAAGAAAACAACATTAGAATTTATGAATGCAAGAAAGGATATGCAAAGAATAAGTCACAGCAGAAAAAAAATGGAGAATTATAAATGCAGTGCACTACTGTGTTTCAACAAAAACATCTGCAACCAATGTGACTTGATGATAACAAACAAGAAAGGCATTTACCTGCATTTGCGGCATCATTGACTGTGACTGCATTGTTTGCATAGTCCCAGGTATGTTTGCCATCTAAAATGCACACAAAAAAGGCAGTTCAATCAGGACAGGAATATGTTCAGAATATCCAGAAGAAAACCTGACAACTGAACAAACTCGAATCTTTCTTCATGAGCTCATGAATGTTCGTGAGTACGTCCATAGAGAGTATAATTATCCTCTCGAACAACAACCTTATAATTTTTACATGACTTAATAAAAAGAAAGGTGTTATCAAACCATTTGTGAGTTTGAAGATGCCTGTGCAGCAGTATACATTGCACTGTTTGCAGCTCCAGTGAACTGGCCCAAATGGCTTCTTAACTGATTTCCTTGGTTCAATTGGCTCTGAGACATGCCTGGCTGCATGCGTGCAGCCTGCATCTGCCTATTCTGAAACTGTGACAAGGCTTGTGCTTGGCTGTACTGCATCTGCTGTTGGCCAGCAACCTACAAAAGGTTTTCAACAGCAAGTTATGAGCTTTGTGAAACTAAAAACAATTATATTTCCATGTCTAGAAAATATAGAAGTGGTCAATGGTAAAAATGTCTGTACTTTTTGCTGAGCTTGTCCCTGTAGATCTTGTAACTGAGGAACCGAGCTCTACAAGAAAATTGCAGATTTAGTACAACAACAACAACAACAACAACAACAACAACAACAACAACAACAAAGCCTTTAGTCCCAAACAAGTTGGGGTAGGCTAAAATTATAGATTTAGTGAGCACCGAAAATTGTAGATTTAGTGAGCACCAAAAAGTACCATGTTGGGATAAATAGTGTAGAATTTTTGCAAGACAGCAGTACAAAATCATAAGAAATACGCTCAGGAAACCGATAACATTGTTGTTGCCAATGCCACAAGCGCAACAAAACCTCTTTAAAACTGAAAAGGAAAGTTACCTTACCTGTGCTAGCATCCCAGCAGCTGATGGCCTCAGCTGCTGCTGCTGTTGCTGAGATGCTTGCATCAGCTTTTGCCTCTGCTGCTGTGGTGTCAGATGTTGCTGTGGTGAAGGGGTATTCATCATATTGGTGCCTGACCTAGGGGAGTTAGCATATGGCATTGGAGGAGTAGACACATTTTCAAAATTAGGGGTTCCGGCAGTTCCAGGCGATGGAGCAGATCTGCCAAGTAATTGTCCTCCAGATGCCTGCATGAAGCGTTAACACATCCGATGACTAAGATAAAAGGATCAAACGTTTCATTGAATTCAGGCTAGTGATTGCTATCATCAATCCTCAAATAAAAACAACAGAAGGTACTCAAACCAACACTTAATACAGTTCACAATAACAGGGACTGACATCATATGACCAACCAGTAAACAGGAAAACAACACCTCGCGGGGAACATTAATGGCATGCAACAAAAAAGGAATATGAGCAATAAGATGGATTCCAATTTCAATATGTACACGACTTCTATGAGTGCTAATACTGATGCTACACAAACCTGCATTGGATTTCCCTGGGCGCTGACATTATTAGGTGAAAATGCTGGTGTATTTTTGGGATAGGCGCCTGCAAATATAAATAGCTGTTAGATGCTGATACTGGAGCGTTTTCTGACACATGCTTTAAACGCAAAAGGTTATGATGCACTTGATGTCAGCTAAACATGGCATAAAAAATCCTAATAGAGCATGACAAAATGTGGAAATATCACACGATCTAATCTTACCAGAATTATCACCAAAATTATGAGCCCCGTCTCCAGTAGCAAGTACTTCCATTAGATGGATAGGAAGAGATGAATGCATCTGCCTTTGGTCTCCCGATACCCGTAATCCTGAGAATCGGGCTATTTCAGCATTGAGGGTCCATAACACAAATAGGAGACGTACATGAGTTATTTAATTTAGAAGTCCAAAAAGCATCAATGTGTTTTCACCTTCACCATAATTTACTGCCGCTCTAAGTAGACTTTCCTGCTCCTGTATCTTTGCAGCTTGTGCCTTGTCCAACATAGGACCAAGATTTGCCCCTTGACGGGCTCCTAGACCATGAGTCTTACGGCACTCAGCGATTACTCTCTCAGCAGTTTCACACGCATTCGCAATCATGTCTATCCGAGCCTGAAAAGGCAGCAAATCCAATTTTATTTATCAGACAACCAACAGATCAATCAATAACAGTGTGATACAGGTTTGCATTTTCCACATCAAGCACCTTTAACTTTTCCATTTGAGAAGGCACGGGCAGATTCGTTATTCCAGACAACAACTGTTCCCTCTTTGTAGTTTCCTCAACTTCCATCTCCGGTAAGAGCTTTGACGACAGCATTACAGGCAGTACTGCGATACACACGCAGGTCAAGCAGGAAACATGATGTGATACTAGTAGCAAACGAAGAATAATCGTATGCATTGAAAAAGCAACATGGGACCATTAAATTGCAGCACATCACAACAATCTAGAGAAATCCTGAAACAGCATTTTGGTAGTTGATTTTCTACTGATCCCCTGTCACACTTATCTATCCCTGAAAAGAAATTAGAACAACAACACCTGCCTATGAAACTGGACAGGGTTCTTCGTATCAGATGTGTCATTTTCACACCTAATTGAAATTGAAATCTCTGAACCCATTCAACCGAAACATCATGCGTGCTCATAGGCCATCATGGTCCCAGAACAATTTTACTAGCCAGAGAAAGGAAAAGATATCGCATGGCACATATATATAACTGAAAAAAAATATTTAAAAAATTCAGAGGAGCTCACTCACTTGCAGCGTTCTCGGCGTTGACGTTCCTGGGGTACACGACGAACCCCTTGTTCACCTTCTTGATGTCCTCCACGATGTTGAAGAGCTCCATGCTCACCATGGAAAACTGCCCGAGCACGTCCTGCCTGCCAGGCGCCATACCATACCAGTCAGCAACCAATCGAATCGCGCAGCAGTAGCATAACTATCGCACACGGGCCGGAGGATCCACCGAAACCCTAGGTCGGGGATTCACTCTAGGCGGCGGCGGCGGCGGCGGCGAGCAATGGAGGGAGGGGAGGGGATGGGTGAGCCCGAACCACTTGGGGGAGCCGCTGGGGTTGACGCGGGCGATGGCGTCGAAGTCCTCGAGGATGCGGGAGATGGCCTTGTAGAGCCCCACCGCGCGCGCCCGCATGCCCTCCAGGTTCAGCTGGCTCTGCACCTCCCCGTTGAGCCGCTCCGCCCGGGGAGGCGCGGGCTGCTGCTGCTGCTGCCCTCCCGCCGCGGCGCCCGGAGCCGCCGCCGCGTCCATCGCCGGAGGTGGGGCGGAGGAGGAGGGGTGAGGGGAGGTTGAATCGGAGGGTGTTCGGATCGCCGGCGTCTGGCAAAGGGTCCGGTCCACTCGAACACTCAGCGGTCAGCCCCTCCTCCCTCTCCACAATGTCTAAAAAAATGTTTTTCTTCAAGATATAAGATAAGGAGCTTTTGAACTGAGATGAGATGAACTGAAATTCCAAAATACTCCCTCAGTCTCAAAATAAAGGTCTCAAGTTTTGCATAACATTGTACTGAAATTAGTATAATATAAATATAAACGGTTGATGACATCAATTATAAAATAATATGAATTTTTTAACTCAACCACAAAATATACTTTTTTTAAACCTCTCCATGTACATGCCCCCGGCTAACTACATGCGCCCTCAGAGCATCCACCCATGAAGGATTTTATGTCGTCAGGTCATCACAAGGACCAATCTCCGTCATTTGGTTTGGACTAGCGGGTGAAAATTTTGTTCCTGTAGCATCCTTGTTCGGTTGGTACTCGTCCCTTTCACATTGAATCCAAAGACATATGTTCTTCACACTGGGGGTAAACGTGCCCTTCTTTCTTACTTTATCCTAAATCATTCTCCTCCACTTCTCTAGAGGTTTCACGCCACCGCCAACATCGTCATTTCACTTATTCGCCGGACGAGGCTAGGGCACAAACTCATGCCCTATCCTTCGACACACCTTCTTCTCAAGCTAAGTGAATTTCGCACACGTCCTCTTTGTCTTCCTTCTTACGCACCGACATCTTCTCCTCACGCACCCCAAAATCATTAATGATGGGAGAAACCAATATGTCACCTCTCACCTTCATCGCCAACAAGATCCCTTCAGGCACTACGCCTCGATCTACTTTCCTCTACGACAAACTTCAGATCGTAAGATCGACAAACCATTATTCATTGGCAGTACCCTCTCTTGCACCTTCTTAAACTAACTAAACCTAGCACCCTTCCTTTTCATCTTCTTTCAGACATCTCACTCTGCCACCTTTCGGGGGCCCAGCCCACACAGTTATTTACCTCTCTTCTTTACTCTTACCAAGTGAGTTCTTCTCACATGGTTGACGGGTGTGCCTCGGCCATCAAGTTGGGATGTCACACCAAATCACTAATAAGGCAGGGAAAAACTTAATGTGAACCCTTGTCATCTTCACATCCCCTCTCCCTTCCCGCTACTAACTAATCACCCTAAGGTGGTTCGCTCCATATGCATTACTGTGGAACAGTCATAAGAACATCTCTAGTGGATCGCTCCATACGCATTATTGTTGAACGGTCATAAGAACATCTCCAGTGGATCCCTTTTCCTAAACAATTATGGTATAAGATGATTTGGGTTAAAGAAACTCTGTTCCAAGAGATCCCCTTTCCCCAAAAACTTTTCGGTGATCACTAAAAACACCCCAACTCACCCCTTCATAGAGGGAGAGACGCAACTTCCCCTATACTCCCATCCATGTTGGCCCGAGCCAAGAGGCTGGTTTTTCACCGCCTCGTGTCCCCCATATGCAACCTTCCGCTTCGACTGACATGCATCCTCATTGCTAACGAGCACCACACCACCATCGGGCCCGCATGGTCGCGCCACCACCATGTTTAGCCACTACTCCATCTCCCCTCGACACCGGTGTAGGTCGGAGTACACCTTCGAAACAACTAGAGAGCACAATGCCAACAAGTTGCTCGACGAAATTCCTCGCCTAATATTTATGCAATGAAGAATTTCAGAGTTCATCGACAATGTAATAGTTCATACATACTTTTTGCAGATGAGTTCGCTTTCTGAGTTGTTTTTCGACAACTCGTCATAGGGGCGATGACAATGATTTTGAAATGGAAACTACATTGTATGTGTTATATGATGTCAAATAAGAGGTTGAAGCATCATGGCTCAGTGTCCGGTCGTGTGGTAGTTCATCGGAATAAGCAAGTCGGGCATGATAAGCTTATGTAGGGTTATTTTGGAGAGAATCAATGTTTCGCCATAAAATTGTCCATGAAGTTCATTGTCTCTACTTCATGCAAAAATGGGATGCAGCTGGTCAACTTGGTCATAATGCTTTGAAGAAGGTTGTGTCATCGATGTGCATGCTTGCTATGGTTGTCGAGCTGATTCTATTGCTGGCTGGATTGGAATTGTAGAGATCACAGTCAATTAAAAGTTTGAATAAATTCGTGAAGTGTTGTCATTGATATCTTTGGAGGGAGATATCTCTAGCGCGAAATGAAGCTGGCACCGGAAGGCTTCTGCAAATGGGTGCATCAAATGGCTTTCCCGGTATGCGTTGAAACATCGACTTGCATTGGAGGTGGAAGAATAGCCGTGCAGCAAGGGCAGTTGCCATGTAACCTGCAAAACACATGGCAACTGGCAGCTTTGAGTGTGGGAGAGGAGGCGGGCGTGTGGGCGAACTGATAAATGCCCACACACCAGCCCCTGTATGGGCGAACTGTGTGGGCGAACTGCTAAACACCCACACAGCAGTCCCTCCATGTGGTGAAAACGAACGTTTAGGCGACCGGATGAATGCCCACACACCAACCCAGTCCTACGTGGCACCACAAACATGCCAAGATTCGTGCAACCATAAACGGACGTGGATCCACGCGTGTGAACGAGATGCAAACGCCCATACGTGTAGGCATTAGTGTTTCCGTTTCATAAATGATGAATGCTGTGTGTTTGAGACAAAACTATACGAGTTATTTTGATGGTAAATGGATATGTCTATGTCTACACAAGTGTTGAAGATGCTCTAAGATAATTTTCCACGCTTACCCTTTGGGAGATATATTTTTTGATCTTATAGAAATTAACAATTCACTATACAAGAAAGCACACCCACATCTATTATTAAATACTTTTTCCGTTCCAAAATAAGTGACTGTACTCGCTTATTTTGGGACAGAGGGAATATTTAAGAAAATGTTGACAATTGCAGTTTGATCAGGTGTAATCTGGTTTCACTGTTTGCAGAGTTGGCCCACTTGATAATCGTCCTAGCCAATATGGTCGGTTGAGCCAATTACTACTACGTTGTACAGATGCTGCATGTATTGATTGATTTACATCCGCAGCTCTTCGAAGAAGTCTTCGTCGTCGTCGTCGTCCAGCGGTGGTGGGGGAGGGGCGGCGGCAGCGCGGCGGGCGGCGACGGCGGGGTCGACCTCGACCTCGGCCAGGCCGTCCCGGAACGCCCTCGCCATGTTCTCGAAGTGGTTCCTCGCCACGGTCGTCAGGCTCGACAGTCTGGGCCTGAACTCCAGGTACTTGTCGGCGACCGCGCCGTGCTCGCCGGCCGCTTCGGCGACGAGCTTCGCCCTGTCCTTCTCGGCGCACTCGTGCAAGCGCTCCAGCGACTTGTCGGCCTGGCTCTGCAGGTCCTCGAACAGGTCGCGCTTGGCCGGGTCGTCCAGGTAGTAGCCGAAGGCGTACGTCCACCGGAGCATCCGCCGGCACTCGGCCACCTGCCGGTACGCCTCCTCCAGGAAGTCGAGCTCCGTCTCCACCACCCCGAACGCGGCGGCCACGGCCTCCCTCTGCGCGCCGTCCTTGCCGAGCGCCGCCGTGTCCTCGAGCGCCTTTTGCCGGGACCGCTCGTGCGCGCCCCAGCGCTCGTAGTAGTGCAGGTACCGGTCGACCGACGCCTTGGCCTGCGCCCGCCGGAGCTCCTCCTCCGTGTACTTGCCCTCCGCCCTGGCGGTGTTGTAGGTGTTGCAGTTGTAGTTGCCGCCGTCGTGCTTGTCCCAGGGGCCCAGGCAGAGCCAGCAGAACTGGTGCTTGCACGGCGGCGAGCACGTCATGTGCATGCACCCCTGGTTCTTCTCGATGGGGCGGCGGCACTCCGGGCAGTGCTTCGTGTTGGCCAGCACCCACTGCGCCGTATTCGAGTCGGAGCGGTTCGTCTCCAGCCACTCCCGCACCGTGTCGCACGCCACCGGGCGGTGCGCCTCCTCGCCGCAGGCGAGGCAGAAGCCGTGCCCGCACGCGCACCACGCGTCCAGCTGCACCGTGCACTTCTCGCCGTCGAACTCCACGGCCCGGTCGCACCCGGGCGCCGGGCACCACCGGATCCTCTTGCTCTCCTCCACGTACGAACGGACCAGGAACTCGCCGTACCGTTTCGCGTCGTCGGCGTCGGCCACGTCGTCGACTAGGTCGCGCACCACGGCGGCGGAGCAGCCCATGTCCGGGCACCGTATCGACAGGCAGCGCGCGCCGTCCCCGACGGCGGCGCGCACGTAGCCGCTCCAGCACCCGCGGCAGTAGAAGTGGGCGCACCCGGCGGACCGCATCTCGCCGGGGGCGTGCGCGTCGAAGCAGATGTAGCAGGTGAGGGGCGCGTCGTTGACGGCCACGGAGACGGCGTCGCCGTCCGGGGGCAGGCCGACGGCGTCGCGGACCTTGTGCTCGTCCGAGAACCACCGCTCCCACACGCCCTGGGCGCTCCACTTGAAGTGGCGGAGCACGGCGGCCGCGAGCCCCGGCGGGAGCGCGATCAGGTCGGCCACCCGCGCCGTGTGCTCCTCCTGCCGCGCGCGCACCTCGTCCATGGTCAGCACGGCGTACTGCGTCGCCGTGAACCTCATCTCGTCCAGGACTTCGCCTTCCTCATCCACCTCCTCCAGCCCCTCCTCCTCGTCCCCCTCGTATTCATCGTACATGCCGTCGTCGTCGCCGTCGCTGTCGCCATACAAGCAATCATCGTCGGCGTCGTCGCCGGCGCCGGCGTCATTGTCGCTTTCGTTGGAGGCGGTCCGGAAGCTCAGACGATCGTCGTCGTCGCCGCCCTCCTCGGGGCTGCTGTAGTACTCCTCCTCGTTGTCGCTCGTCAGCGCCATGGCTGCCCTAGTAGCTAGCTAGCTAACCTGGCGATCGACCGATCGATCTTGCACGTCGTAGCTAGGTAGGTACTGGTGGTGGTATGAGGGTTTGGCCCGAGCGCCAAGCTCTTATAGATGCTGCATGGCGGCCATG